TAGTCGCATTATGAAAACCATGGGGCAGGAATAGCCAAGAGGGAGCGGACTCAGGTCCGCTCTTGGGGCCCTCGAACGAGGAGAGCCGCCGTGCCTGGGGACAGAAACCAGAGTGTGGAACGCAAGATCAAGAAAGGGATGGGTGGAGAGGGAGGGGACTCGGGGCCAGGCAGCGAGGGCAGGTGCCTGCAGAACCCATCACACCGCGCTGTGCAGGGCTGCGTAGGGCGGGACTTGCCTGCCGGGCTGCACACGGAGCTCCCTACACCTGTCCCATGTGCCTGCAGGTGGGAACTGGAGACCTGCATCCATTGACCCTGCTGACAACACCTGACTTCAGTGGGCAGACTGGTGATGTGACGGGCCAGGCCCTCTCTGGGGCGACTGATGTGAGGTGGGGGGCGGACCCTCAGGGGGTACGGTGTGGCTGGAACTGCTGTCGGGGTCCATCCGGTCCTCTGGCAGCACACAATTTGTGGTTTCTGCTGGTGAGGAGGGCTCCACCCTGCACCTGTCCCACGTCCCTGCCATGGTCCCTTCTGGGAGGCTTCTGCCAGTCCTCTAGTGATCCCCATTCCCGCTTAAGTTAACCATCGTTGGTTTCTTTCTTTTTTTTTTTTTTTAATTTGACTTTTTATTTAAAAAAAAATTTTTTTTAACGTTTATTTATTTTGGGGACAGAGAGAGACAGAGCATGAATGGGGGAGGGGCAGAGAGAGAGGGAGACACAGAATCGGAAGCAGGCTCCAGGCTCTGAGCCGTCAGCCCAGAGCCTGACGCGGGACTCGAACTCACGGACCGCGAGATCTTGACCTGAGCCGAAGTCGGACGCTCAACCGACTGAGCCACCCAGGCGCCCCTAATTTGACTTTTTAAAGTTAACATCCAAACTAGTTAGCATATCGTGCAACAATGATTTCAGAAGTAGATTCCTTAGTACCCCTGACCCATGTAGCCCATCCCCCCCTCCCCCCCCTCCAGTCACCCTCTGTTTGTTCTCCGTATTTATTTATTTATTTATTTATTTTTTCAACGTTTATTTATTTTTGGGACAGAGAGAGACAGAGCATGAACGGGGGAGGGTCAGAGAGAGAGGGAGACACAGAATTGGAAACTCACGGACCACGAGATCGTGACCTGGCTGAAGTCGGACGCTTAACCGACTGCGCCACCCAGGCGCCCCTGTTCTCCGTATTTAAAAGTCTCTTCTGTTTTGTCCCCCTCCCTGGTTTTATATTATTTTTGTTTCCCTTCCCTTATGTTCATCTGTTTTGTCTCTTAAAGTCCTCATAGGAGTGAAGTCATACGATTTTTGTCTTTCTCTGACTAATTTCGCTTAGCCTAATACCCTCCAGTTCCATCCACGTAGTTGCAAATGGCACGATTTCATTCTTTCTGATTGCTGAGTAATACTCCACTGTATGTATGTATGTGTGTGTATACACACACACACACACACACATATACCACATCTCCTTTATCCATTCATCCACCGATGGACATTTGGGCTCTTTCCATCCTTTGGCTATTGTCGATAGTGCTGCTATAGACATGGGGGTGCATGTGTCCCTTCGAAAGAGCACACCCGTATCCTGTGGATCAATGCCTAGTAGTGCCATTGCTGGGTCGCAGGGTACTTCTGTTTTCAGTTTTTTGAGGAACCTCCGTGCTGTTTTCCAGAGTGGCTGCCCCAGCTTGCATTCCCAACCATCATTGGTTTCTAACAACCAGAGACGCCTCAGTGACCTCCGTGCATCAGTGACTTGGCCGTGGCCTGGCGAGGGCTTTGCACTTCCTCAGCGTGGATCTGTCTCTAGCGTCTTTCGTCATGGCGTGACTGACGGAGATGACTCCCAAACAAAACAAAATTCTCTGAAGATAGTGTCTTCTGATAAGCAAAAACCAGCCTTATTAGGACTCAGGGAAGACTGCGTTTGCACGCAGGCTGGGTGTGTGTGTGCGTGTTTGTCTGGGCTCCTCACCAAGGACGTCGTCAGCTGTCCTGTGGACCGAACGAGTGGCCTTTCTGGCTTACGCCATCGCGTCATCTCAAGAGTGGGCAAGCGTGGACACTGGATGTGGCAGCTGACGGTGGTGTCGGCTGTGTGGGGCTCACGCTTGCCTCGTGTACGTGGTGGTTGGGCCCCTCGAGAGGGCAGGCGTGGAGTTCTTGAGTCGTTATTAGATGTGTGGTCCGTAAACGCCCCACCGACAGGCATTTTCTTTTCAACCCTCGGGCGCCCCGGTGAGAGGGAGGCAGGGCTTCCGCGTAGCAATTCAAGAGTGATTTTGATGAATATGTTAGTTTCTTCAGGTCCTTCCTTTGTGAATTGAAATATTCATGGGCATAGGAGAGGTTTCCTTTCCTTGGAAGAAATGCCCTGGATAGCAATTGTTGTTCCTTTGTCTCACGAGTAAATAAGTGTTTGCGTCATCCCTCTGTCCGTTTGTCTGGCTGGCCGTCTAAATGCTGTGAGTGGAAGGTGTTAGCTCCATGAAGTGCCTAGAATTCTCCACCTGCTGTGTCTTCTGCTAAGGAGGAGGGACCTGGGGATGTGAACGCATTTGAAACGGCTGCCGAAGAGGCTCCTCGACACGGCAGCAAATTCTTTTTGTATTTCTGACGCTTGCTTATGTGGGACCACTGGGCCTCTGAACGGAGCACCAGGACACGGAAGGACACACCAGTGCCCTGTTCCCTGTCAGGCTCTGAAACGTAAGCAGGCAAGCCTGGCGGGATTGGGATGCAGAGCCCATTTCCGGGACACGGGGAATCGTCCAGCGGAACCGCCGCCTGGCCACTTTGGTGTCAGGTCTCACGGGATGTGGGCTGTTCCTGAGGATGCCTTTGTGCCCGAAGCAAGGTGCGCTGGGACTCAGTGACAGGGAGCAGAGGGGACAGCGGGTGGCATCTCCGGCTGAGGGAGCCTCTAAGCCCAGGGCCGGGGCCGGGGCTGAGTGGCAGGTTGAAGGACATTCTGGAGTCTAACCTCCCAGAGGGGACGAGAAGTGATCTTATCTTCGGTCCTTGCCCCGCGTCTGGACCAGGGACCACCGGGGTCTGAGGAGAGCAGCAGAGAGAGAAGCAGGACAGCAGGACAGGGTGGGGGGCGTGGGGGTCCGGGCTCCTGCCGTCTTGCATCCCGGGCCCAGGGCCTGAGCTGTGGAGGGGCAGGTGTGGCTGCTTTCACGTTAGCATAAGCAGGTTCCACGACTAGGCATGGCTGGTGGAGGCAGGCAGCAGGGATTTCTGAGTGTATGTAAGAAATATCTTTGCTCAGTCATCAGACACTTGGTCAGTTTTCCTGTAGGCATGATGGAGAATTACGCGTTTGACCCTGGACCCGAGGAAATGCCTCCCATGTGGGTCCTCCAGGCATGGAAAGTGCCCAGGGCGAACCCTAGTGGGGCAAGAGGGTTATGGTAACTAGAGGACCCTCTGTGAGGTCAGCCTTGGGTGGCCAGGGACGCTTGCTGCACGGACCCCCACTGGCTGTGTCCCCTGCCCTTGCTGCACGACTTCCCGGTTCATTCTGTGGTCCCCACTGGCTACGCGCCCTCTGCCCCCGCCCCCGGTGCCCTGCGTGGTTTCTGCTTACATGGCCTCACTTGAGCCACGGCCCCCTCTGGCGGCACCTGGCTGGAGCACCATCGCTTAAGGTGCCACCTGGAGCCTCCTGGGTCCTCCTGTGGTGTCCGGTGCGTGTCAGGGTCACCGTTACCCTGCTCCTGGTGCTCCTCGCCGTGCCGGGCACCAGTACCTCCGTCCCCAGCACAGATGGCTGATGCATATGCACCGATCCAGGCAGCCACCTGGCAGGTGTGGACAGGGCCAGGGAAGCAGTGTGGCGGCGTTTGACAGCCTGGAGCTGAGAATCTGGAGGCCAGGATCTGAAATCCAGCTTTGCTGCTGGCAGAGATGCTTTGGATGGCTCACCTTGAGTCTCGGGGCCTCAGCTTCCTCTGTGAGCACTCAAGGGCAGGCCTAGATGCGTCTTGGGGCCTGGAGGGTCTAAATCTCTCTGGCAGCAGCCGTAAGGCAGACTCTCATACCCAGCTGCCCGCAGACCCCCTCCAGCATCCTGAGGCCAGAGGAGCTTTCTCCCCACGGGCGTTTTTCGTGGGTGCACAGACCCCCACACATCCTCAGGTGCCCTGGGGTCCCATCTCAGCGGTGACCCACACAGCTTTTTAAACATGCCTCTGACGTTAGGGATTTCTCGTACCAGTAGAAATAGATTTTACTTCTCCTCCCGAGTTTTTGTTTGCTTCCTCCAGGGTCAGATTTGAGGATACGGATAGCATATATCTTGGAGACTTCTAGCCCCAAGGCGAGGAGAGAAGTCGGGGTGTCGGGAGGCCTGGGATCCAGCCCCAGCACTGCCGTTAAAGCTCTTCCCCTCAGGGACGATGGTCTGGACCGGGAGGATCGCCAAGGGTCTGCCCAAGTGCCAGCGTCTTATCCCAGGGGCAGCTTGGACCAAACTGGGTTCGGTAGCTGTTCTCAACACTTACCAGTTTTGCCAAGAACAGGGAACAGTAGATTTTGTTTCTATTTATATTGCCTTGCTCATTAGCATGTACAATGCAAAGGCCGGAGTTGCTGAAGCAAAATCAACAAGTTTTGATTCATTTGCAGAGCTCAACCCCGGGATCGCTCTGAAATTTCTAACCCGTAGGGCTCCCTGGCTGAGTCACATCGTGGAAGGTTCCTTAATTGGAAACAGCCTCAGACAGTAGCATGGACAGCAACAGACAGAAGGGCTATCAGAGCACAAACAGCCGGAAAGGAAGTGCCGACGAGAAAGGCGGTTGGGGCACTGTTGACGGCCGAGTCGACAGCATCTGTCCGGAGACACTGGACAGGCAGGGGGTGGGCTTCCCTGACGGGCAGGGCTGCGGCGGGGCGGGGGGACAGGAAAGCGGGAGGCCAGATTTGGGAAACCACAAACTTGCCTTTGAACATCTGTCGTTGTTTTAACAAGCGTTATCTTTTCTAGGTTGCCCACCTCTTGGTCTGGAAACCTTAAAAATCACAGACTTCCAGCTTCACGCATCCACTTCGAAGCGCTACGGGCTGGGGGCGCATCGAGGGAGACTCAACATCCAGGTACCAGCGGGGCCGGAAGGACCCTGCTCACGTGCCTCGTTGCTCTGGCGATAGACGCAGCAGTGGTTCGTTGACCGTGGGTCGATACCATGCATGGCATTTCTAAATGCATGAGCTTCGGGGCACCTGGGTGGCTCAGTCGGTGAAGCATCTGACTCTTGGTTTTGGCTCAGGTTGTGATCTCACTGTTCGTGAGATCGAGCCCCAAGTTGGGCTCTGCGCTGATAGCCTGGAGCCTGCTTGGGACTCTCTCTGGCTCTCTCTCTCTGTCTCTCTCTCAAACTAAATAAATAAATAAAAACTTAAAAAAAAATGCGTTAGCTCCACTTCTCCCACCAGGAGGGGGTTGCCTCCAAGCCTCCGTCTCACGGAGAGGGTCCTGAGACTCCGGGTTCGTGTCTTCTACAAAGAGCACTTAGCACGAAGGGTGCTGCTGGTGCCTGGACCCAGGTCGGCGCCCCCTGCACCTCTTGGGCTCTTCCCCTCTGTCTGGACCAGGCAGGAGGAGGGCGCTGAGCTCCGGAGGACGCGGGCAGCCAATGCCATGTGTCCTCTTTCCCCTGCCACTCTTACCACCACCCACACCTCTTCCAGGCTTTTCTGCGGCTCTCCCCAGGTCAGACCCTGAGTGGTTCACCTGGGCCCCAGCACATCGTGTCTGGCCTCCTTCTCTGCGGCTCACGGGTCGTGTAACCTTGTCGCTCATTACTGTCAAGGTCCTGCTCCAGGAAGGAGTAAAAATCCACTCCTGCACGCGGATTTTATACCCCGCGCGGTTCTTGACTTCTTGCCTTTTCTCAGGCAGGTTCCCCTGCCCGCGAGCCCTTGCCCTCCCCCCTGCCGGTCAGTGTACATCCCGTGGCATCCGTGGTGTTCATTTCCTCGTGCTGCCCTCACAGCTTCTCATAAATGCAGCCACTTAGGCCACGCGAACGTCTTCTCTTCCGGTTCTGGAAGACAGAAGCCCCATCGGGCTAAGGCAAGGTGTGGGCAGGGCCGCGTTCCTGCTGGAGCTGGAGGGGAGAGCCCAGTTCTTCTCCTTTTCCAGCTTCTAGAGGTGCCTACATTCCCTGCGTGTGGTGCTCTCCTTCTAAGCCTCTGGGCCCTTCTTCTGCTTCCCTCTTCCACTTTTAAGGAGGCCTGTAGGGACATCGGACCCTCCTGGATGACCCAGGATCATCTCCCTAACTCAAGCAACCTTAATTGTACCTGCAGACTTCATTCCCTTTTACTCTCTGGCCTCGACTGTTCCCGGGCTCCAGATGACGTTGGCATCTCTGTTGGGGAGGGGGCGTTATTCCACCAGCCCATCCCGAAGCCTTTTTCCTCCAGCCCCTGCTGTTCTGTACCTAGCCAGCTCAGCATTTGGTCGTGCGCTGTCCTGTGTGGGTCTCTGGTATTCTAGTTGTCTTTACCCCAGCTGCTCCATCAATGTGTGTGTTTTCTAAACCCTTTCTGTGCACGCATCATCTCATCTAGCCTCCTGGGGGGGGGGGGGGTGGTTCTCTCTCCACCCCACCCTCCCCCCCACCAAGATGTGGGGCCATCAAGGGTAACGGCTGCTGAGTACCAGCGTCAACATCTGCTCGCGTGGGCCGCCGTGAACATATTGCGGGCAGCTGCTGTGCTGGGAACTGGACAAGAGCGGACGAGGTCCCTCCCAGGGGCACCCGGGCTCTGGGGTGTCTGAGCAGAGCTCCGACTCTGAGCGTCTGCCCCTCCCTCCTCCTTCAACACTGCCACACCACACAGACTTTCAGACCACTCAGCCTCAACTGGCACCACTTGGCAGTCCCAGAATTCCAGTAGAACATTTCCAGACCGGACTTTAATGAAAACCAAAGGTTGGTTTATAAGTGTGTTTTTTTTTTAAATGTGTATTAATTTTTGAGAAAGAGAGAGATTGTGAGTGGGGAGAGGCAGAGAGCGAGGGAGACAGAGAATCCCAAGCAGGCTCTGAGTTGTCAGTGTGGGACGGTGGAACTTGAACTCGGGAACTGCGAGATCATGACCAGAGCCGAAATCGAGAGCTGGACGCTTAACGGACTGAGCCACCCAGGCGCCCAGGATTATTGTTTTTTAATAACAGCTGATAAGAAACATTTGGATGTGCACAACTGAGACACTGTGTTTTCCAAGAGGGTGATTTCTCCAAGTTTCACAAGAGTGACCATGAATAATGTGAGTGCCTGTAGCACCTTGAACGGGCTCCAGGCTTCCTCAGAAATAAGGTCAGGGCGAGCAGGGCCAGATTCAAATGGGTGTGGGGCTGTTTCGTTCATCATTAGAGGAGTGGTCACCTAATGCCCAAATGCTCTCTCTGTAAATGAAGTTACCCTTTTTTAAAGAGGAAGTGTTGCCATTTATACAGGCTTTCAGACAAACATTGAACGGGTCCATTAGTCCTGAGTTTATTGGTGGGAGTAGGGGCTGTGAGTAGTGTTGTTCTAGTTGGGGATTCTACGACCACAGTGGGCAGGTGGAACGTGGGGGGTCATAGTGCAGGGGTCCTAGGCGTGCAGAGTTCAGACCTTGGCCTTGACACTTCTAGATTTGGGGACCCTCAGAACCATTATCTCATGGCTCCGAGCCTCAGTTGCCTCAGCAGAGAAGAGGGAGTCATGGGATTTGTTGAGCAATGAAATCAGGTGATTTATAATTTTAAAATTTGCTGCATCATTTCACTTCTCTGCTTGCAGCTTCTAGTAGCTTCCAGGTGCTCCTGGAAACTCCTAGCTGGCCCTGTGTGACTGGCCCCTCTTAATCCTGTGTGGTGCTGCCCCTCCCTGAATGTTGGTGGCTTGTTTTGGGGTGATACCTGACCCTCCTTGAGTAGGAGCCCCAGGTTAGAAGGGGCTTGGTCTCTCGTCCTCTCCCTTCCCCCCAGCCCAGAACATCGCCCGGCACACAGGACGTATACAGAGGGTGTCAGGTGAAGGCCTGGCTGAAGGGGAGATGGTGGGCGTTCGCCGCCCTGCCTTTGCTGGGCCCCACGGCAGGTCCCCCGGGGGGACGCTCATCCGGCAGGGAGCAGCTGGCTGGGCTGTCCTGTGTCCTCGTCATCTTTCCTGGCTACCTCATCCTTCATCCAGGGAGAAGGCAGGTTTCCTGGGCTGGAAGTGTGGACAGACCCACCGTCCTGACTTCAGTCAACATGAAGTAGGACAGTTGCTGAAAACCACCATAATCAGTGCTGTTTATCCTGGGGGGAGGTATTGTTTTCTTCAGTGGTCTGTCATTTCCCCAAATGCCCTCCGACTAGAACATCTCTGCACCTGCTCTTAGGATGTGAAGTTGCTGCTTTAACAGGGAGTCCCAGGCCAGCCGCCCCCGAGCCTGCCGGAGCCCCCACCCCCGTGGGTTATGTGGTGTTAAACACGGAAGGCGGAGCGTTGCCTACGGCACGTGTGAGGGCCTTCGACACAACCCTCCGTGGGCAAACGATGACTCGGTGGGAGCCCCTTTCGGGGTTCTTAACCTTCCAGAATCAGTGTCCCACGAAGCCTGATGTCATCGCCACAGGTGCTCTAAAATGCGTCCTCCCACACAGATGGTCTGAAATGCAGTTTAAAAATTCCGCCTTATCTCACTTAGGAGTTTTTTGCAGATACGCCAAGCTGATGGGATTTTTGTGCGAGAAACACCAAGGTGTCAGGGGTCCGAAGTGTTTCAACGCCGTCGTCCAGCATGTGGACGGGGTTGCCCAGCCCTTTGCCGGCCCAGCCTCCGCAGGCGTGGGTGGGGTCCCCCCAGAGCGCATGGGGCTGGCTGGCTGGCCAGGCATCCCGGTGCACCTGCCGACGGGCCGAGTGGCTCCAGGCCACACGCTGCCTCGTCCAAGGCTTGGTGTCGTCATCAGCGGATGGAGCCCGGCCACCGGCACTGCCACCTCGTCAGAATGTGAGGATCGGACAAAATGAAGACAGAGAATCGTCCTCGGCAGTTTTCAGATGCCGTATTCACGCCCGTCGGAATTCGCTCGCTCCGTTGACCCTGTGGAGTGCCAGGAACTGTGTGCTGTAGCCTGAGCGGGCAGAGATGCCCATGTCCCGCCTGTCCCCAAATGCAGAGGGAGAGCGAAATCGGCTTCGGCAGGTGTTGGCACCGTGCCGAGCGCTTTGTGCCCGGTATTTCCTTTCGCCCTTGGCAGGAGACAAGTACTCTTTTTATTATTATTACCTCCGCCTTATAGAAGACAGGCGCATGCATCGTGAGAGTCACTCGGTTAAGCGTCCCCGGGAGAGGCGGTGTGTGAATCGAAGCTGCTGTAAACCTGGAGTCATTGCCCGGAACGGCTCCACAGAACTGCCACCAAGTCAGCAGGTGGCAGTGTTCTAGGTGCGTCTGGGACGATGGGGAGACCGAGCACCCCTCTCCTTTCTGACCGTTATCTCACGCTGATTTAGTCGTCTGTCACCCTCACCCAACGATTTGCCGGTGATGGGAGTCTTGCTTTCCTGGGTATTCGTTCCCCCGCGGTGTCAGCAGCGTCCGCGCATCCCTGTGTGCTCCACAGATGTTTCTGGATGGTCGCCACGATGCGGGAGGGTACCGTGGCTGCCATGAAGAAGTCCTGGAGGGGGCGGTGCTGGCCGGTCTGCTGCTGTTTTGCTATCGGAGACTCGCTCCTAGCGACGGCTCATGACCTGAGCCGAAGTTGGACACTCAACCGACTGAGCCACCCAGGCGCCCCAATGTAGGTTTTGAATAGTCTGGCTAGGACTCTATTTTTCCTGTGACCTCAGTTTCCAGAGTGCAGATTTTGCAGACCGTGGGCTTTGGCCGAATGGCACCTGCCGCCTGATAGCAGAAACACTTGTGTTTGTCTTCGTCCTTTTGAGCTGCTATGACGATATCGTATCTCCAGGGGCTTGTAAACCACGCAAACTTATTTCTCACAGTTCTGGCGGCTGGGAAGTCCAAGGTCAAGATGCTGGCAGACTGGGTGTTCAGTGGGGACTCTCTTCCTGGTTCGTAGGTGGCCGCCTTCTTCTGCGTGC